GTAAGAGGACCAGTTCCACTAGCTCTGTTTCCTTATGAGTACAGGAAGGTATCAGTAATATCCGATGATATTGATACATGCTGTAACAATGTAACAGTTACATCTGCTTGATCCTGTACTGACAAGTGTTGCAAAAGCATTGCATCCTTTACCTGAGGGGTGTCCAACCTTCTTGAATGTGGGGCCAAATCATAAACTTTTTATCACCCGGTGGGCTGGCGAGCCATATTCAGAGACCTCACAGGAAGCGGTATCACATCACACCCCTGAGATGAAAATACAGTGTTTACTGTCATTTCCTGTCACAGCACCTCGGGCTTCAGAAAACAGCTTGGAGGGCTGCATGGTATGTTGGACAAGCCTGCTTTACCCTGTTTCTTTGAGGGTCAGAGTTTGCTAATGTCCATCATTTTGTGATCATGGGCAGGTAATAGTTGTATTGTAGCAGCTGACTAATCCTCCTCAGCGGAAGCTCCCTCTCCCTTTTAAACTGGTTCCAGGTACTGAAGACGACCCACAATAGCATAACAATGAAGGGAGGAATCTGGAAATAACAGGACACACAATTTAATACAGCTAGCAATATGCACAGCCAGATATCTTTTTTTCATCAGCAAGGGAAAGTATAGGAAGATCACCTTGTATCACACGGTGTCATTGGATGCATGTGATGCTAAATAGATAGGCATTTGTAATCTAGTTCAGTTATTATGCTATAAATTCAAGTTAGTGTCTTCTCTAACCTACTATAAATCACTACATTCCTTTAAAAGGTTTTCTAACGCTTAACTGTAAAGAAATAGCCAAGGAAATAATCTTCACTTAATATTTTTACACTTGTCATATTACTGGAGTTCTAATAACATTTTTAACAGGAAAAATATAAATTTGACATTGATGTTTCAGCACTCAGCCATCCTTATTACTGCACAAATGTGTTAATGTATTGTCACTTGGGACATCTGTGATAAAAATACATGTTCAACATATTTCCTGTAGGCAGTAAAATTCAACAGCCTGTTAAGGCCCATATATAGGAAACATCAGGTCACATATTTTTGTGAACTCTTTCCTTTCTATAGTTTAGCACAAGTTATCTTAACACTTTGCATGTAAACATGGCCTGATTTAATCCCTCTACCCCCAAAACTTGAGCGCCTTATCTCCCATGGAGCTGCTGGGGAACAGGGTAGTGGAATATGAGGAGCTTCTCTAGCGCAGAGGTCAGCAACTTTTTAGGAGCAGTGGGCCAAATTAATAGAGCTCAGGCTAAGGGCGAGCTGCCACGTTCCCCTGCTGTATGGCCACCAGATTGCCACCAACATCTTAGCTTCACAAGGCAATCACCTGGCCAGAGCTGGCCCTTGGGGTCTAGGTTGCCAACCCCTGCTCTAGCACGTCTTCAGTTGTAGAGTGTAATGTTTTTCTTACCTACCAGGTCTTTTCAGACAACTCTGTGGTAAGCTTGCTTTCTTTACACCACAGTAGAATACCTGGTATGCTCTCGCTTCTGCTTTCCTGACTCCCAACTTCTAAAACCAATTTTCTACTGAATGGGTTTTGGTCTTGGGTCAGTTGCAGGATTTATTAATGTCTTTCTAGAGCAGGGGTAGACAACATTTTTTGGCCGGAGCGCCAAAAAATCACCACAATGCCCAACTTGGAAGGTGCCAGAGTGCCGGCATGCCAGAAAAACAAAATGAGGGCAGGGGGTACGTGGCAGGATGCCCTGCTTGTGCCCCTTGCCCCCCACCCAAAGCTCCTTTCCCCCAGCCCTGCTGCCCCTTGCCACCTGCAAGCCCTGCTGGAAGCAGCCTGGGCTCCATCACTGGCAGCAGCTACCCGGAGCCGGGGCTGGCTGTGGCGTGCCGAGCAAAATGGCTTCACGTGCCATGCTCGGCACGTGTGCTGGGGGTTGCTGACCCCAGTTTTAGTGTTTCTTAGCTCCACTGTCATTCTGGCCAGCAACACCTGTGATCTTCTTGTCATACTCTGTTCTCCCTCACCTTTGCAGGTCCTGGCTGGTACTAAATCCTGCTGATCCTTTAATTATCCTTTAAAGTTAATTTCCTTTCCTCCATACCTACTCCTGACACCTTGACGAGTGTTTCAGTCATTTTTGCTATTACAATGTTCTCCCTCCTGGCCTTATGCACACTTGTAACTTTGTTCCCTGCCAGCCTGCCCAATATGGTATTGATAAAAACAGTTTTCCTTGCTGGCTAGAAGAATGTTAGCTTGTCAGCCTTTTGTCCCACCCTTCCTTGAATCGGTGTACCTGCACCTCTCTTTCTGGGTCAGGGTCACTTTCTTTCTTCTCACTCTCAGGCTGGAATGGTCCATTCTTGTCTGTACCCCATTTCTTTAACTTGTTCTTTTGACCCTAAAAAATCAGTTTACCCAGATAAACTGTCTGTTCCTCCCATAAACTGTTGTGTGTTTCATGCTTTGCACATTCCCCCCACACCAGCTGTAAAAATAATTTAGAGGCCGTACTGAAAAAATGCAGCTTGCTCTAGAATATCATCACATAAATATGAATCTGTGAAGTATCCTGTAATAAACCACAATTCTGAAACTGGATTTAAAAGTCTAGCGATGTCTACCAGGAACTTGTATACAGACAGCAGCTTGGGTCCAGTTCTACCGACTTCACTTTTGCAGGTAGTCTTGCCGAAGTAATTCTGAGTACAAGTGAGATTTTTTTAAAGCGCTAATAGCTAGGAGCTTAATTCTAACTGGCTTTCATTGTAGATGAGTAAATGTCCTTTGTGGTTCTCAAAAATCTTCACCTACTAGCTCAAATAAAATCTCTTGTAATGCAATGTAAGCATATGCATGGGAGGCCAAAAGGCAGCGTCATACAGTAGTCCTGAGAATCTCTCAACCTTTATGCAAGTCTGTTTTAGTGACAAAACACCAGTGTGGTCCCAGAGGTCAAGTCATTTTGCCTGCTTATTTGAACAAAAATAAAAGAGCTCTTTGGCAAAGGCAGGTTGGTTTGCATGTGACTTTGAAACAATGGAGGGCTTTGCTCTTTTTTGCTGGTGTTCTCACAGCCTGTGTTGATTTAAACTATTAAGAATTATTCTGTTTTGTGTCTTGAGCAAGTGAAGAATCAAGCACTTTAAACACAGGGTTTACTACATCATCGCTTTCCAACTCTTTATTAAAAACATGGAATAGAATAGATGGGTGCAGACATTCATCTGCATCCTCTGATTATAAACGGTCTGGAGAACCCAACTAGCTGAGGTGTTTTTGTTGTTTAATGAGGTTGGTGTCTGCTCTTTCGCGTTGAGGTGATGGCTTTTTTTTTCCTTTGAATATTACTGAGACTGCTCATCACCTACATCTTGGGTTGATTGCTTTCAAAATATGAGTCGGCTGAGTATTGCTTTTGCTATATCTATGAACACAGGGACATGATGGCAGCTCTTAGAAGGATAGTATCTCAGTTTGGCCAGTGTACTTTTGCTCTCTCGCTCTGTCTCAAAAATACATATGCAAGTGTTTCTTGAGCCCGCTTCCCAGTTCCCTCCCTCTCCAGTGAGTCAGTCCTTTAAAAGACAGTACTAGAGGGGCAGCATTTCTAGATGGAAGAACAAGAAATCACAGGGACGTATACATTGTACTGTACTAGTCAACCTTGCCAACAGTAGAAATTCAGTGGATGTGCACAAAAATATCATGCTAGCAGCTACTGTCCTGGTTTTTCCCAGGGTTATAGTCAATCGTTTCCTTTATCTTGACTTGTATATTTTGGTTTATTGGTTTGTGAAGTCTACAATTTCTCATGAATTCTTCCCCCCCCCCCCACACTCTGTAACAATCTTAGCTCGCAGCATAATTTTTTTCTTAATTGCTTAAAAAAAAGCTCAAATCAGCAGAGTGGTTCTGCCATTTTTTAACGAGTCACCCCTTTTATGTGTGTTTTATTCATATCCTGGGGAATATGTTCAAAACTTTTTACTCATTTTCAGTCAAGAAAAAAATGGTCCAACGATTGAAACACGTTTAGGAACTGTATGTAGAATATAAGTAAAGATTTGAAGAGCCAAACTAAGCTTTTTTTCCTAGGATTCGTCATCATCGTATCTAAGCATTGATATTGCTTCCATTTGTTATGCTAAATTAGATTTGTGCTGCAAAGAATGCTCCTTTTTCTAGAAGGAGTATTGCAATAAGTGCATATGCCTTCCATTCACGACATCTCAATCAGTTATGGTCCAATTCAAGGCATAACATGAAGGATATAGAAAAATTTGACACAGACTCCCTGGTTAAAAGCAGAATGAAAGAATTTATTTTCTGGCTGTTGTTTTTGCAGGTTGAAAACTGGTGTCCTCGTTTACCTTGGAGAGCAAAAAATCCTAATGAAGAAACTGACCAAAACTCAATGGTGAGTGTGGTGGTGTTGGGCATTCCTTAAAATCTGGTTTAATTAGATCGACGAAGCCAGGCATTCACAATTCACGAAGGGGTGGGGGAATAGGGCAGGATGCCTTTAACAGACCTTAACTCCAAGTATTGGCCACTTCCAATGGAGTGTAGCCTCAGTCCCCCTCACCACCCATAATGCTACCACCACTTCTTGCCAATGCTTGGCCAGAGTCCTTCACCACAACCATGCTGTAGAAGCCCCCTGGTTCTGCAGGCTGGAGAAAATGGTTCCACAGGCCATGGCCTCTTTACCCCTGGACCTAGCATTGTTGTCCATTTAGAGAGCCTAGTTCTACATAAATACCAACAAGAATATTAACCCTACAGTCCATGTAAAAACACCATTTCACACAGTTGTCGTCCATTATATTGCATTAAGTTACAATCTTGGGCCCCAGATATGCAGATGTATGTACTGAATAGAACTGATAAAAACATTAGGGTGATAGCAGTGCTTAAAGTATAGTACATGCGCTAATATTGGCTGGATGGGAGCTTTAATGAAGAAAAAAGTTACAAAAGTATTGATTGTTCATTGATTCCACATAATCATACAAGAAACTGACCATTTTTTTTTCAAGAATTTTATCTGTGCACTATATAAACTTTTAATGATCAGAAGCTCTAGACTCAATCAAAACTAGACTCAACAAATGGTTCATATGCCTGATTACCTGGTATAATTTAGTTTGATGTCAACA